CGCAACTGGTAAATCAGGCGCACCTGATAAAACGCCCCCCTGGTCACGGCCGACAAATGATCTTCCAGTGTCAGCCGTGGATCCAGGAGGACTCCCAGATTGCGCGCCCTCTCTGAGGGGGCCAAGGATTCGCCCCCTATAGACAGCGATGGAACCAACTGACTATGCCGGGGCGCCGGCAGCCACAGCCACTCGGTCTGTGGCTGTAATTAACTTATCCCTGTAATTAACTCAGAATATATCTTGCAATTCTTGGAGTTTTCCAAACTTGGAGTTGCAGATAATTTTTTACCTTATTACTTTTCCAGGCAGAAATTTTTTACAGAAATGAGATCTATTGCTTGTCCAGAGAGATAAATCTTTCATTTTTGCCTGCTTTGCACATGCTTTGATGGCAATCTTGTCTTTTGTCAAATTAAACTTTCGTCCATCCTGATGAACCTTTGGCAAATTAATACCTTCCGTGCTTGTCAGATTTCAGATCCCATAATTCCAGGCCATTTTGATTGGGTATTATGGGAGTTAGTCACGATCAGACCAAATCTGATCTACCTCGAGGAAAATTTGAGGACAAACTTTCATGCCTTCTAAACTGGTGTAGTGTTGTTAAGCTACTTTTCTCTGTGTGAAGAATCAAAGTGGTGGAGCAGTGGAACGTGAAGATTTCCTGATCTTAAACTATTGGATCCTAGATCCCATCATCCCGAGTTAGCATGGTCAAGGTTGCTGAGAGTTGTAATCAATAAAAACCCTCCATTAGTGACCCAAAACATGGAAGAACAGAGGAATCATTATAATCTTAGTAATTGTAGCCTATCCTGCCAGGCATAGCTACAATAAATACCTCACCATTGCTCCTGTAATAAACCCTTGACACCAGTACCTACTTGCTGTTCTCTTCCCCCAGTGGGCGAGTTTGTGAGCGAAGCACTTCTTGTACCAGACAAGTGCAGATTCCTACACCAAGAGAAAATGGACTCCTGTGAGACCTACTTGTATTGGCATAGTGTGGCTAAAGAGGTGAGTTGCTGTGGGCTTCTTATCAAGTGCATTCCAGCATTTCCACTTGAGTCCATGGAAGTTAAAAGGGCTGGCAAGGATTTGAAGAGATAAAGAGATTTTTATCAAGACCATACTGAATTGTTGAGCCCTTCCTCCAAACAGGGTTGATAAGGGATTGCTTCTTTGCCTTCTTATTAAAGTCTCTAGGAAAATGTCATCATGGGATAAGCAGTCTAGGAGAAACCACATTGAACATTAGCCAGACAGTGGGAACGTCTGAAAACATTGGTTTGATGGTGATCTTGTTCTTTTAAAAGAGAAAGTTGGACAGATGTGGTGAAATACTCAAACTTCACATGTCTTAAGGTTTATAGCAGTGAGTAAGACCAGGATTTAAAGACCATGGGAAGCCCCAGGCTGTTCCTCTCCTGTACTAGCAGCTCCAGAGGAATATGTAAGGTATCCCATGCAATGGAAAAAACAAATAGTGTAAGTGTCTTTATTTCACCAAATGCTTATAGAATGCTGGATTATTATGAAACAAGCTTTTTAAGCTTTATTTGCTCTTTTTTAATGTAGAACACATCCAAGTTGGGGTTTGTGAGCTGGTTGCATTCTGACATAGAGCTAAACTTTGACTTGGTGCTGTGGCTGTGCCAATTCATGATCTCTATGCGTAAATGTGTACAACTCCATTTTCAGCGTGGACAAACTCAAATGAAAGGCCAATTTGGGTTATCACACATAACTTCATTAACCATGATTATGAAGCCAAAGTGAACTTCATGAGGGTGTTTCTGCTTTTCCCCAATTTCATGTTTCTCCATGCCTGTAGTATTTTTCTGGCCTGTTGACTAGCATGAACCCAGAATTCCACATTTCAGGTATAATGGAAAACTCTGGCATAATATGTTAAGATCCTTGCATCAAAACTGCTTTTTGAAGGAAAGGACACATGAAGATGCAATGGCTGTTCCTAATGGTTGTCTGAATCAAGCCCTCTCCTAAATTAGTGTTCACCCAGATCAAATCATTTTTAGTTGTGGTTAAACATAGCTATGATGATTACCTAATCCAAGCCAGTTTTGTAATGGTATGTTGGAAAGACCTTGGGAGAGCAGGCCCAGAGATGCTACTTAGGGAACAGCCAGATAAGAGACAGCATAGCCCACAGCTGCATAACAGGTAGATAAAGAGGCTCAGAAACCCTCTCTAGTTTTTCAGTCTGTAAAGGAGATGAGGGTAGGTGTGGCCTGGTGGCCTAGAGGTGGAGCTCTTGCCTCACAATCAGGAGGCTGTAAGTTCGATCCTAGGTAGTGGTAGATATTTCTCTCTTGGGGTGTATAGAGAAAATATCTGCTGCGAACTCTGTATAGGCGTCAGGAAGGGCATCCGGCCAGTAAATTCTCAACTTCATTCAGTCACCCCGATTCCACCCCGATGCAAGAGATTATAGGGGGAAAAACCAAGGAGATGGGAGTAGAATTGTATTTTCAGACATGAAAGATGCTGTTAATATAGCTTTACAGTAAAGTAGAATTAGCTCATATGGTCACGTTTCCAGTCTGGTCTACCTAGTAAGGCTGACAAGTTTTCAAAGCACACACAGTGTTGCTCACGTCAGTTATCTGAGTTCACATGATAAAACTCAACTGTATGGCCTAGGTTTACATGGCACTCTAGGCAGGTTCAAGGTGTTGTGTGAACCAGTCTCAGGGTGTTACATTGCAGCATTTTAACCTTGTTCATATCCACCTTTCAGGCCTGCAGTGGTGAACATCTTGAGCTACACAGCTATGGCATGTTACTACCTTGTGGAGCTGACCGTTTCCGAGGTGTGGAGTATGTGTGCTGCCCCTCACGCCCGCCAGCCATCAGGGTGGAACAGTCTACAGAGGCTCCCCCTGTGGTTGCCCATTTAAGGGAAGAAGCCCTGCGCAGGTGAGCCAATGGGTTGGGGCAGATCCAGCTGCTTAGGAAGGTGGTTAAGATCTACATTGAGATCCACAATTTATTTTTGCAAGGCTTATTTAATCTTGAATTTTTCTGGATCTGGATCTTAAAGGAAAATCTGCAAGGAAATGTTTAGATATATGTATGTATGTATGTATGTATGCATATACAATTTATCTATTAGTGCAAAATTGAAGACACTGCTCCTACAGGTATTATATAGTTGAAAGGAATATTTGCCTTTTCTCATGGGGAAAAGTCTCTCTGGTTCCTTTGCCCTGCTCCTATAAATGCATCCTCTTGCTTGATGGATCTGTTTGAGATATTAACTTGATGGATTTTTTTTTCTTCAGCAATAAAGTACCAACAGGACGTATTCCAACAGAGGAAGAAAGCTTGGAATTGGAGGAAGACAGGAATATGGATGGAGAAGAGGAAGAGGAGGTAGAAGAAGAGGAAGAAGAGGAGGAGGAGGAAGAAGAAGAAGAGGAAGAGATTCCTGGAGAGAGTGTTCCTGACTCTAACCTCTTCCATGCTGCCAGGGATGACTATTTTGTGGAACCAGAATACTACGATGACAGCATCACTCAGACCACCATCACCACTACAACTCAGACCACAGAAGAAGATGTCAAAGGTAAGCAGTGGAGGGAAAGACCCATCTTAAGAGTCAACCTCATGGAGCACCTTCCAAATTCCATGTTCTTTCTTTCTCTTCCTTACTATCTCAACCTCCCAAGGGAGTGAGACCATATCAATGAAGAAAGAGAAGGTCAGCCTCTAATGCTTCTCTGGATGACCATACAGTTGGATTAAATGTGTAAACAGGGACAACATCACTTTCTAAAATCTTTTTGGCCTCTGAGAACCACAGAGGGCGTTGCTGGTGATTTCATGAAATCTCCAGATACACAAGGTAAACAAAAGGTTTGGCCTTTGAGGTTGTTTTGACGGATTTGAGGTTAATTTATCCTCAAATGTCTCCCTAAAACAAAAAGCTGGATGCTCTGGGACTGCGAAAGGGGCCCTGAGGGGGCAGGGCATCTAAAGGCCATAGGCAATGATGGTTACAAATCTGTGGTAGTCCTTGAGTTAACAGCCATTTATTTAGTGACCATTTGAAGGTACAACAGCACTGAAAAAAAGTGGCTTATGACCATTTTTCACACTTATGACCAGTGCAGCATCCCCATGGTCACCTGGTCAAAGGACTGAGGACTGGTATGAATTCATGATAGTTGTAGTGTCCCAGGATCATGTTATCACCTTTTCTGACCTTCTGACAAGCAAAGTCAATGGGAAAGCTAGATTCATTTAACGGCCCTGTGGCTAACTTAACAGCTGCAGTGATTTACTTAACAACTGTGGCAAGAAATGTCATAACACGTGGCAAAACTCACTGAACTGTCTTGCTTAGGAACAGAAATTTGGGGCTGCCTTGTGGCTGTAAGTAGAGGACAACCTGTGCATCTGGGGGGGGGAGAGAGAGAGACCACCATATGAAAACTGTTAATGATGAAAGAAGTCCTTTTTTTTTTTTTCTTCAAGGGCTTCTCAGAACTTTGAGCCAACGGCAGTCATGGTAAAATCAGTGCTCAAGGACAGATCAAAAGAGAGAAGGATATAGATTCTGCAAAATAGGGGCCTCTGGGGCACAGAAAGTAGAGAGGCAAGATGCAAGCTACTACTAGGTTGAGAAAGAAGGAAACACTCAGCTGTTCAGCTGCTTCTCTGAGTGCCCATCATCTCCTCCTCTTCACAATGGAGAGCCTGTTTTGGAGACAGCTCTAAACCTGGCTCTGCCTGACACTAGGGGGTAGAGGATGCTTAGCAGCAAAGCATCCTTTTGAGGGGGAAATGAAGGGGCTCATGTGCTTCCTTCTGTCCTGAACCAAATCACTGCAGGAGGCTGTGCCCAAACAGATTTGTATGCGTGGATGGTTTTAAATATTTGAGATAGGTGACTTCTGCAGGGTCAGGCCCTTTTAGCAGAGGAAGCAATTGGGTGTGCTTTGCATGCTTTGGAATGCAAATCCTTCGATGTCAGGCTGCTACAGGAATTGGGTCCAACGGGGAGAGTAATTGAATAGTTATTATATTCCAGGAAGAGTAGTGATTGGAGTTGAATTTCTGAGCAAGGGAGAATCCTATGGCAATTAAGAATTTACACACTGAGCCAGATCTCAAATCTTTCACGAACTCTTGCAGTGCTACCCTCTCTTAAGGAGAAATTGGATTGTCTCTTATACCTAGTCCTCATCATGTCTGTTAATAATGGATGAGTGTTTACATTCTCTGCATTCCTATGCCCCCCCCCTTTTAGATAAGTCCATCTTGTTAGGCTTTGATTCACCCACTAACTGGCATAGAGTACTTTCCATTTGGCCATGTTTGCTGGAGCCAAAAGTGTTGTTGTCCAAAATATTTCAAAGGCAACAGCTTACCTTATCTCTGGTTTTTTTTTAAGACCAATAAGAAGGCCTGGTCTTGTGTAACATGACTGCTGTC